TTCAGGCTGGCCTTGAACTCACTTTGTAGCCCAGGCTGGCCTCAAACACACAGTGATCTTCCTGCCTCAGTCTCCTGAGTGCTGGGATTACAGGCATGCACCACCACACCTGGCTGTCCTATTATTTTAAAACACGAGTGTGTATCAAAGAGCAAAGGCTGTTCCAGCCAGTGTTGCAAAATGAGCATCTGGCGTTTTTCTTGACCACTGGTGGGGACCCAGGGAGGGTTCACTGTCACCTCTTGATGGACATCACTCTTGCCACTTCTCAGTTGCCCCTTGCTGTCGTCCTCCTTCTCCCTCTCCCCCGCCAGTCCTTTTCCTTGGTGCCTACCCTCCTCCACCTCCTGGCTTTTATCCCTCCCATGGTGTCCTGAGTGCCCCATTTAGCCCTCGTGGGCAACTTAACAACCCCCTTCACTCCCGTGGGCACCCCTCTGTTGCCCCCTTTCCTGAGTGGGCAGTCATCCTCTTGCTGTCACCTCTTCTGTGACTAACTGTGCTGTGGCTCGCCCCCTCAGCATTCCCTCCGCTCCTCCTTGGTGAAATGCCTTTGTTCTGATGGACACGCCCCTTCCCCAGCTCGGGCTGTGGTTGGCTTCCCCAGATCACATGTGCCCCCAGTGGGAACCAGCCCCTAGGCACAAGCCACGCCAGTGTTAGTTACCAGCTGAGGTGGTTGGTGCTTCTCCTGCCCGCGTGCTGTTTCTCAGACTTGAAGGAAAAATTTACCCTTTTGCGCAGGTATCTGGGTTTTCTGGTGAAAACTCTAGTAGCCCCAGCTCTGCAGCATTCAAAGTAACCATCCTCACTTTTAACCCTCCTGTTGCAGGCACTGTTCCCTAGGGGTGTGACCTTTCAGACCACTCTTGGTTTCTTGTTTTCAGTAAAAAGTGGGCTCCCCCTACTAATGTGGTGTAACTTTCCCATCTGTCACATAGGTCTTCCTTGCTCTTTTGAGGGCTCCCCGCAAGGACTGCCGCACTTCCTCTTTTTGCTTGCCCTTGTTGGGTGGGCCGTGGCTCCAGGAGACGGTGCTTGCTTCCCTGTTGGGTTCTCAATTCTAAGGAAGCCTTGTGGTTGTAACTGGCATCTGCTATCTCTGGAGAGATCTTTTGCTGTGGTTCATGTGAAAAGGTTCAGGCCCTAAGTTGGGATGAGTGCTCTGCCCCCTGCAGGGTGACTGTGAGCTATTTCTGTGTAAGCCTAGGTCAAGGGAAAAGCCTCACCAAGCCTAACTCCTCATGGAGTGACATTTAAGAGGGGCTGTGCACTGGGAGACAGATGGGAGAGGGTCACAAGTTTGAACCTGGCCTGGCCAGTTTTTTTTTTTATTTTTTGCCTTTTTGAGACAGGGTCTCGGTATGCAGCTCAGGCTGGCCTTGAGCTCACTTTGTAGCCCAGGCTGGTCTCGAACTCGCAACAATCCTCCTGCCTCAGCCTCCTGAATGCTGGGATTACAGGCCTGCACCACCACGCCAGGCCTAGGCCTGGCTGATTTAGTGAGACTTTGCCTCAAAAATAATTTTTTTAGGGGGCTACTCTGGAAGCGAGTGAAGCAAGAGGATCTCAAGTCTGAGCCTAGTTTGAGCAACATAGTGCTTTGAGACCTCATCTCAAAGAAAAGAAAAAAAACACACACCTGTAATCCCAGTACTCTGGAGGAGGACAGCTGCCAGTTCAAGGCCAGCTTAGACCACATAGTGAGTCTGAGGCCATTGAAAACAGCATAAAGAGACCCTGTCTCAAAAATGAAAACAAAATAATTTTTTTAAATGTTGAGTTTTTTTTTTTTTTTTTTTTTTTTCTGGTACTAGGAATCGAACTCATGACCTCACGCTTGTCAGGCAGGCGCTGTGCTGCTGAGCTAAATCCCCAACCCCCAAAGTTGAATTGTTAATGGCCAAGAAGACTTATTAGAAGTTCCAACTACTGTGCTGTTCTCTGAACTCAGGCCTCTGTTTCACCATCTTACAGGAAAGGGGTCTAGACCAAATGATTGCGGAGTTTTTTGTGAGCCTGGCCATCCCTAGCAAGCGCTTACAAACAGGGCTACAGACCCTGCTGATGGCAGAGGGGTCGGGGCATAGCTGAAAGTATAGCTCCATGTCCTTAAATTAGAGAATTTGGTGACCCATCCCCCTTTCTCTGCCTTGCCCCTTGGGCTATTCAAGGTGATTGTCACCAGCCTGAAGTCTTTTGCATGTGCCCTTCCCACTTGCGGGTTTTGGATGCCATCCAGAAGCACCTTTGGTCTCTGTGCCCCAGGAATACCGGAACATTCCACATCATCTCTACTGTGACCCTCACCCTGGGAGTACATGGCCCTGGGTGTGCTGTGTGCTGTGATAGTGTTCCATCTGTGCCACCTGCTTTGTGGTCCTGCTCTGCCATCGCCTTCCCTACTATTTCCAAGCCTGTTTCTCCCCATACCCAAAAAGCACCAGGATGCTGGGTAGAGAGGCCGCCTACCCCTTCTCTGGTAATATCTTGTCAGGAAAACAACACAGCTGTGTGCATGGCCCAGACACAGGTTTAAAAATTCTATTCGGCAAATCTGGAAAGGTGATTTTCATGGAGATGTGTGCTTTCCTGCTGTGTATAACGGAGGGGTCTACTACGGTCTCAGTATTTTGGGAAGGGCCCCAAATTAGGAGATGAGTGCTCTTTTATTAACATCCATCCCTCCAGTCAGACTGAGTTGGTGTGAAGTGGAGTCACCTACTGTCCAGGTGCCCAAGGGTACAGAGTGAAGCTTGGGATGAATTTGAAGTGCCCAAGAACCAGGTGGAGCATGTTTGTCCCTCTGCTTCCCAGATGTCCCTACCTGCACCGAACGACTGGGGATACGGAGCGCAAGTATCATCTGCGCTACTACAAGACAGGCACATGCATACATGAGACAGATGCGCGGGGCCACTGTGTGAAGAATGGGCTGCACTGCGCCTTTGCACATGGCCCCCTGGACCTGCGGCCGCCTGTTTGCGACATTAGGTGAGCAGGTTGTCTGCACGGGGATCAGCTCACCTCCCTACTGCTTCTACTGGTCCAAAGCCTCTCTTTCTGTGAGCCCCAGCTTTATTTCTTTTTTATGGGGTGGTACCAGGAATCAGGACCTTGTGCTTGCCACTGATCTGTATCCCCAGCCCTCCAGCTTTATTTCTAATGAGGAAACTGCTCATCTATTCTAATTGGGTGTTTCCTTCCTGTTCCTGTCCTATGACACTCACGGATGAGGTGATGAAGTGATCCCTTAAAGGTAGATGAACCCAGTATCCACCCAGCGATGCAGGAATGTAAATCCTTCCTAAGCAAAACTCAACTCTTGCCTTGCTGGGATTTGGGTTGGGACTATCATTCCAGGCAAGGACTCTGCCCATTGCTGTGGAGACCCCCATCTTGAACCTTCCAGGCAGTGTATTCTGTGAACTGACAAAGCCAAGAAGTTCTGAACCCTGGATCCCACTGACTTCTTCTTACCTCCAGAAGGCTTGGGACCCTGTGGAGTTAATACTATGTTGTTGGTTGCAGGGAGCTGCAGGCACAGGAAGCCTTACAGAATGGCCAGCTTGGTGGTGGGGATGGTGTACCCGATCTGCAGCCTGGAGTCTTGGCCAGCCAGGCCATGATTGAGAAGATCCTGGGTGAGGACCCCAGGTGGCAAGGTAAGCCCTCTGCTCTCCTTGAGGCTGGAGGGAGTCATGGTACATGACAGAGTTGTAGCCTTTTACATAGGAACTGTGTGAGCTGTGTGTCATTTCCATCCTTAACATGACCTAGATCAGATGGGGAAACTGAGGCTCCTCAACTTAGTATTAAACCTGGGCTCTTGGGTTGCAGGTGACGAAGTAGGATTAGAGCCCAGGTGTCCTTTTTTTTTTTTAGGCAGACCATGCCCCAAGCCCTCTCATTCCTGTTGGACTAACTGGTAGCATGGGTCTGATCTCTGGGGCCTCCACCTCAGAGGGCAGACTGATCTCCAGTGGTCTCCTTTGCATCCAGGGCATGGCCCATGGGGCCTCTTAGGGCAATTCCTCTTGAGGTGGCCTGGCTTTTAACAGT